CACACACACACACAGATGTAGGCTCGTATGATACTCCGTGAATCATTAATTGAAAGCTTACACATAATAAATATATTATGTTTAGATTTACAAATAGGTATAAACATACAATGCATAAGAATTATGTCTCTGGCACATGTGCTTGCCATTTAATTTAGTATGTACTAGATATGTAACAATGGCTGGAAATTGCTGGAAATCTGATAATTTTCTATACTTTAATAACAATATTTAGAAAATAATGACATTGTAACTGTAAACCTATTTTTGAGCCATTAATAGCTGACCTACACAGACACAACAGCTGGGTGAAATTAGTAGAACTGGTGTCTGTTTCTCTGATGTAAGTCATTGTCATTAAATCCTTTTTTTATTTTCTTATTACTCACACAACACATTGGCTCTAGTCATCACCTGAACATTATTGCTTGTTACAGTGATTGAAGATGAAATAGGCTTTTATTTTAGTCTTATTTTTGACCAGTTTCCCACAGATGATTCTTATCTTAAGACTGCTGCCTAATGACAAAATGCTTTTGTGTAGCAGTTGTTTCCAATGGGCCCCAAACCCAGCTGCAATTATATCTTAAATGAGTTGTTGACATTATGTCCTCATCAGCATCCTAAACCACTTATTGACAAGTGACAATAAAGGCTACTCACCAGTGACGACTACAGTAGCTAAAATGTAAATAATTAATTCAGTTATGTGAGTTTGTGATAGAATTTTTAATATCCTGGACTGGGCCAGTACTGGGTGTTGTGGTGCCCTAGGTGAGATTCTGCTGAGCACGTCCCCCAGAGCAGTAGTAATTTTGTCAATGAATTTATATTTAAAACATTTAAGTAGCATAGGGTATCTGGCTGCTAACTAGCTAGCTTGCATCTGTTTCACAAGTAGTGAGGTACTAACACTACTGTAAATAACTGTAATATCACAGAATGCAATCAGAGGTTTTCTCATTTTTCCACTCGATCTTTTGCACCCCCTCCTCGCATGCCGCCTTAGGCGATTGCCCGTGGTGCCTATAGGGCGGGCCGACCCTGATCCTGAAATTGCTTGTTGATAGCACCTGTGGTTTTAGTTAGCTGAAGTGTAGAAATCTGCTCCACTGTTACTGCTGCAAAGTAACATACCAGCAGGTAATGTAATGCATAAGGTTATGGGTTTATACCATGAATGTAGCCAGACTGTCCTCGGAGCGTCTCAACTGTAGTGCCCTTGTATAACCTGAAGTACTTCAGTAAAAAAAAAAAAAAAAAATATATATATATATATATATATATATATATATATATATATAT